TAGGGACATCTAACGGACAACACAATGACAAGTCTGGGGAAGACTGACTCAGACGAGGACTAAATACAAAAGACGGGCTAGACATAACAGGACACAGGTGATCACAATCAGGGCTGAACACGAGGTAACGAGGTGGGCGTGGCACACATCAGGAGCGGACGGAGCGGGGTGTGACACTATTCCCTGGAAGAATCAGCCAGAGAAAAAATCCAGGTATAATGTGTAATCTCAGCATTTTCCACTGTTATACCCTTAGACAAAAATATTTGTATGATTTATTTATTAAATGGAGATTTCAATTAATTGAATTTGTTGCGTTTTTCATGTTCTGAATCTGGTTCAAGGCAATTCTAAGGAAATTTAAGCAAAAAAGGAGCATTGAAGTAAAGAATTAATTACTTAAATTCTATTGAAATACATTGATGTTGACTGATATGAAAAAAATCAAAATATTTGTCATCACCTAGGCTTAAGGCTGATTTAAACTTCTGCGTAGAATCTCTATAAGTTCTGCATAGGCTTGGCACAGAAGTGTAAATCAGCTTTTAGGTCAAAGAGTAGCATCTCTGCACTCCAGTTTTGGGGAGAAACACCAAAAGATACGAAATGCCTCTGGGTATCAGGCATCAAACCATCAAGCTGGAGTTACATCACATGAACTTCAGCACTGCTGATCATAGGCTTCATTTTGGGCTAATGGCAGTTTGTATACTTTTATGCCTAAATAGAGAAAGGAAGTAGAAAGGAACTCTGGCACTCAAACCTTGAGAAAAATGTTCAGGGAGCATGAAGTGCATCCATTTGCCCTCAACAGACAGTGTTATGGATGGATGGATAGATGGTAAGTGAGCTAGTCAACTACCTCATCATGGCAAAGCAGCACAATCGTCTTGCTTGTTCATTTATACATCTAGATCACACGGGCTATTTTACTTTGTTAATATTCTTCTTTGAAACAGAATAAAGCCAACATGAATGTGCCATCAAAATTTCACCCGCATTCATTACATGTCAGCTTACTACAGTCGTGGCCAAAAGTTTTGAGAATGACACATACATTAATTTTCACAAAGTGATGGCAGGGAAGTGATGGCAGGGAACCATGGTTAACAGAGGAAGAACAATGATTTCAAGCACCACTCTCCTTTTAAAGCACCCAGTATGCTATTCTAACTCAATCAACCTGACAGAGTGATCTCCAGCCTTGTTCTTGTCAACACTGTCACCTGTGTTAACCAGAGAATCACTCAAATGATGTCAGCAGGTCCTTTTGTGGCAGGGCTGAAATGTAGTGGAAATGGGTTTGAAATCATGTGCAGTCATCATTGCTTTGCACAAAAAGGGCTTCATAGGCAAGGATACTGCTGCTAGTAAGATTGCACCTTAATCAACCATTTATTGGATCATCAAAAACTTCAAGGGGAGAGGTTCAATTGTTGCGAAGAAGGTTTCAGGGCAACTAAGAAAGTCCAGCAAGCACCAGGACCATCTTTTAAAGTTGATGTTGATTCACCACCAGTGCAGAGCTTGCTCAAGAATGGCAGCAGGCAGGTATGAGTGCATCTGCATGCACAGTGAGGCAAAGACTTTTGGAAGATGGCCTGGTGTCAAGAAGGGCAGCAAAGAAGACACTTTTCTCCAAGAAAAACAACAGAGACAGACTGCTATTCTGCAAAAGGTACAGGGATTTGACTGCTGAGGACTGGGGTAAAGTCATTTTCTCTGATGAATCCCCATTGACAAACTCCACAGATCTTAATCCCATTTAGAATCCTCAAGAGGTGGGTGGACAAACAAAAACCAACAACTTCAAGCACTGATTATGCCAGAATGGGCTACCATCAGTCAGGATTTGGCCCAGAAGTTGATTGACAGCATGGCAGAGCGAATTGCAGAAGTCTTGAAAAAGAAAGGCCTACAATGTAAATCTTGATTCTTTGCTTAAACTTAACATAACTGTCAATAAAAGCCTTTGACACTTATGAAATGCTTGTAATTATACTTCAGTATACCATAGGAACATCTGACAAACACTGAAGCAGCTTTGGTTTGTGAAAACCAATACTATTGTCATTCTCAAAACTTTTGGCCACAACTGTATGGTTAATCTCATGGCAAATGTTTTGGGTTGTTGATTTTTTGTGATTTACTTAGTAAAACAACAGGGAATGTTGAAACTTAAAAGCAGGACCTGCAGACCCATAAGGAAGAGAATTTATAACTTTATATTTGTAAAATAGGGAGGCATAATTATACATTCTCTTTTACTTTCAATGAATACATTTGCTCAGCAATTAAATCATCATGCATGTTCTTGTGTGTGACGATGTGCTATGACAGTACACTGCTCTGTTCAGGGGTGTAGGCCACCAAAATGTTATAAGAAGCCTTTCAAAAGAGTTCAGATTTATCTTACACTATCTTTCCGTTTCCATTAACATGTCACTTTAATTAAATTAGCTAAATTAACCAGGGACACTGCTGAAATTACAAAATGCCAAGTACTGCAGTAGATACTGATGTGGACATTTTTTTTGGTACCCTTCCACACACACAAAAAAACACAATTATCTCTGAAATAACTTGAAAATGTTTAATGGCATCCCTTATTGTTTATTCCATATTTAACATATTTAAATCAGACTTTGTTTTTGATTATTGATTCAGTTGAATATTTTATATAATTAAACACATGAAAATGGCACGGGCAAAAAATATGGTACCTATAATTTAATATTTTGTGTCACCACAAGGAACCATGACCTGCGACTGAGGCTGATCTTTCTGACACTGGGCAGTATGTTTCGCTCCAGGATGCCTTGGTAGTCTTGAGACTTCATTGCACAGATTCAAGGTTCCCTATGCCAGATGCAGCAAAGCAGCTCCAAAACAAAACCAAGCCCCCTCCATGTTTCACAGTAGGAATGGTGTTCTTTTCTTTTAAAACTTCATTTTTCCTTCTGCGAACATACAGCTGATGTGACTGGCCAAAGAGTTCCAGTTTTGTCTCATCAGTCCAAAGGACATTCTCTCAGAAACTTTGTGGCTTGTCAACAGGCATTTTCCACCCTGGCTTTATATGTTTTTCTGTCAGTAGTGTAGCTCTCCTGGGTCTTCTTTCATGGAGTCCATTATTGTTCAAAATGCGATGGATGGTGCAATCAGAAAGTAATGTACTTTGATCTTGGAGCTCAGCTTGAATGGTTTTGAATGGTTTTCTTGGCTTTTATTCTGTCATCCACACTATCCTTCTGATCAAACTGGGGTTGCTCCTCTTGTGTCCACGTCCTGGGAGGTCGGCTACAGTCCCATGAACCCTATACTTTTTAATAATATTGCCAACTGTGGTCACAGGAACATGAAGCAGCTTGGAGATGGTCATATACCCTTTACCTTTAACATGGTTATCTATAATCTTCTTTCTGAGCTCCTCGGACAGCTCTCTCCTATATGCTTTCTCTGGTCCATGTGCAGTGTGGTGCACACAATGATACCAAACAACACAGTAGCATGTTCTTTCCCTTTAAATAGGCTGAATGGCTGATGAAAAGCTTGAAGGCGCCTATGATACTAATTAAGATTAAACACTTAGTTTGAAACATGACTATAATGCAAGGATAGGGGTACCAACAAATCTTTTCATACTATTTTAGCAAATCTTTGTAAAATCAACAACAAATCATTTTTTTCACAATTTTATTGGTTTGCTCTGTCACATACTAAAGGCATGCAGGTATACATTAGACAATTGCTTTTAATTGAATCACTTATAGGACAAATGAAGCATTATTTCAATGAGCTGTAAGGGTACCAACAAATCTGTCCACTTCTGTATGTGGGAAGAAATGATAATGTTATTTGCCATTACCTGCATGCTGTCCAGTGTGGTCTGAGTCAAAATAAAAACAAAACATACAACATTAAGAAATTTATAGGAAGTATTAAAAAAAAAATAAAAATGAAGCAAGAAAACATTTGTGCCGTAACAAACACCACATGCATAAAATTTCATGAAAAAAATGTGCACCAACTTTCTCACAACACACATTGACAGTCCAGAATTGGTCATTTTCTAGGTGTATAATGCCAAAGCAAATTGATTTACTTTCTTAATATAAATTTAAACTTGAATTATCATTACTAATAAAGTTAATACAGTACAATATTGTGTAACAGTTTACTTGAGGGGGCACAAATAATGCAGTAGTAATGGATCTGTGTAATGGATTAATTAACTAGAAACTGTTAGTTACGTATTGATGCAGTGTTCATTCATCTATAATCAATCATAACATTTGTTTTATACATTTGTTCATGATTTGTACTTCAGTAAAAGTTACTCGTGCCCCGTCAAGTAAAGTATTACCAAATGTTGTGTTGCATACATAATTCATAATTATAGTAATGATGATGCTGATGTTGATTTTGCTGTGGAATGCGGTGTGGAAAAACTCACTTCCAGCATCTGCACAACTCCCTCCTGCTCCTTCTTAGCAGCAAACTGGGCCTGAAAGGTGAAAAAAACAACATAGAAAGGGGAGCAAATGACAGCACTGCATTTTCAGGACAGACCCTTCACCTGCCCTCCATCCAATCTGAACTCAAATGTCATTTATATTAATATTCAAATTTTTTACATGTCTAAATATTTATATTCTGTTTATTTCTCATTTGGACTGTGATTGAAATGGAACTATCACAGATACCCTATTGGTACAGACAGAGGCTTGTAATAATGAATTCTTTTTTTTGATTGGTGAAAATGTTCTTGGGTGAAATACTGCAATCTAAGGAAAATATTTTTACAAGCCTACCTTGCACTCTCTTCCCACCTCTACACAAAAAAAGTGACACAATTAAATTCTCCCACAATACTGCAAATTTTGCCCAGTTCCCCAGCATACATTTAGCCTACTGGCTGCAGGACTGCTGGCTGCTGGACTGTTATCACTAAAATTTGCAGAACGGGAAGACTAACGAAAAAAAATGAGCATAAACTTTAATACAGCATATTTAGAAAATCGTGTTGGCCTCACATGTTTTAGAATCACCGACCTGGGAAGTTTGCAAAAAGATCCATGGAATGCATTTAGGTATAGTGGTGTTCACAAGATGGCGGCCCCAGCTTCAATTTCACTCTCTGTTTGCAGTTCCAGTTCTGGATTTGATTAAGTGTACATTTTTAGGTGTAGGTTCTCATTCACCTCTCCTGGAGCTGACACCCTATCGTAAGTTGCCCGGGGCTTTATGCCCCTGGTAGGGTCACCCAAGGCAAACAGGTCCTGGGTGAGACGAACCAGACGAAGTGCGGCTCACAAGACCCCTCATGATGAATAAAAGAGTGGAATCACAGTTTCCCTTGCCCGGACGCGGGTCACCGGGCCCCCCCCCTGGAGCCAGGCCTGGGCGTGGGGCTCGATGGCGAGTGCCTGGTGGCCAGGCCTGTACTCATGGGGCCTGGTCGGGCACAGCCCGAACAAGGCACGTGAGTCCCCCCTCCAATGGGCTCACCACCCATAGGAGGGGCCATAGGGGTCGGGTGCGATGCGAGCTGGGCAGTGGCCGAAGGCAGGGACCTTGGCGGTCCGATCCTCAGCTGCAGAAGCTAG